TGTGTGTGTGTGTGTGTGTGTTTATGTGTTTGTGAGTATGTGTGTGTTTGTTTGTGTGTGTGTGTGTGTGAGTTTGTGTGTGTACGTGTATGTGAGTGCATTTGCACTCACGATCCAGATAAAGCAAGTGCACTAACAAACAGATCCACTCACACTAAACGTATGCTTGATCTTTTGTAAACAACGAGCATTAGTTCAGGGGATTTAAACCAATGACGTCATATAGTGTCACTGGCACGAACAAGGAAATACATCATTTCAAATTTCCCCAGCAGAACACTCCTAATTTCTGAAAATAGTAGGCCTACATAAGTTGAGAAGAAAGGTGCAGTGAAGGAGGACATAGAAACTTATTTTTAGGAGTGGCAACATAAAGAAGTAGTTCCCTAAAGAACTGCTTTAATACAACACAATAAGCGAAACATTAACGTATTTCGAGATACCTATTCATGTCTATCGTTGTAAGACGAATGGTAACCAGAAAAAAGGCATAAAGGAATGTGGCCCAAATACATGCCTATGTTTCATCGTGGACTTAGTAACCTGAGCCAATTAGTGGTTGGCCAAGAATCGATTCCAGAACCGATTCCTGCGATTATTGCTTCTGGGGAAAAGAACCGATCCCTTTTTCGTAAACTAACGATTCTCAATTGCTTTATTATAATCTTTTTATTTTTTTAAGAATGTATTTTTTTATGTTGGTGCTTTGCTATGTTCTGAAACCCAGGTTATCCTGAATTTTGAAGACTCCAGAAAGGGTGGTTGGGATGCAAATTCATTGTCAAAGATTATATCGATCTAGTGTACACAGTGTCAAAACGCATTCGTTGCTTTCGCCTTTTTCTAATTCATCTGTGGTTGTTTTTATATTGCCTTTTCTTTCAATTCAAAATCTAAAACTGTAACTTCTGCCCACGAAGCTCTATATAATAGGCTCTCATTTCTCGGTAGAGGTCAGTGTTGGTCTCTAACTTCACACTGTAGAGATTGGGTGGGGTAGTGCCTGGGGTAGCGACCTCCCACCCCAGGTAATCAAAGGGATCGGACTACTCGTTACTCGCCGGAAGTAGTCATAGGTATCGCTACTCGCCGGGAGAAATTACAGGGGTCGGACTAACTTCTAATTGCTGTATATACTGGCTAGGGGTCGAAACCACTGGAAGAAATCATAGAGCCACTTGAAGAAATCACATCACTGGCTATAATGAATTGGGTTCGGAACCGATTCCTACGATTCCTAGCTTTTAATAATTGGGAATCTTCGGTTACCGAAAATAAAACGCGGAATCGCCCACCTCTAGAGCCAATACAACGATATGAATACAATTTTAAACGTGCACTTGATTCTGTTTTTCGAGTAGAGAGAAAAGATACGAAACAAATAAATGATAAATCAAAAAGTCTCCCCTCCCCCTTTCTTTCCTAAAAACAATGTTATGACATGTCGTATTAGCTCGCTTTCTCGCAGAAAGTGGAGACAAAAGCAGACGGCATAGACCTCTAGACCACGAGAGCCCCCATGCTAAAGTGTGAGGACAAACGCTTGATATAGTGAAAAATTCCGTTCGAGAAAACAGAAATGGCATTCACAATCATGTGCTCCTACATAGATCAATTGAGCATTTTCGTACTAAAGGTTTTAGCTTCAGTGAATCTAGGTTCAGAGAAACGCCTTCAACTCGTTTGTATCTTGGTTTTGTCAACGTGGCGTCAGATTATAATTTATGTAGATTATAATATAAATACTTTATTACAATATGTTATACAGAAGCTTCAGCAAATTTTGAAAGATCACCTTGTCAAATGTTGCGGGTGATGTGATCGCCTTTAGTGTAGTTTTATCACCTTGATCACTTAAGACGTTCTTTTGAAGTGAAATAATCTTGTATTAACATCAATGGCCTGGGACATGCAAGAAGATGGATCATTTTTTAAAAATAATTCAGCATAGTTGTAATTACCCCCTCCCCCCAAACTACTCCCCACTCCCCAAAGTAAATTAATTCTTGTGCAATCGTGCTTTATGACATCCCGTGTCCATTATCTTCTCTCAAATATTGTTAGTGGAAAATGTGTCAACTTTTAAGGAGGGAGGGGGGAGGGGGGGGTTGTATAAATCATTGATGAGGTCGATCGGGAATCAACATACGATTCAAATAGTTTTAAAATATTGTTATCTAAATTGTGTATATTATATTCTGTCATCATTTCGTATAGGTCAGGTTTGTTTATTTACTTATTTATTTATTGAATAAAATTTATCTGTTTATTTGTTTGCTTATCTATTTGTTTGTTTGTTCGTTTATTTATTTATTCATTTATTTTTTTATCTAGTTATTTATTTATTTATTTATTTATTTATTTTGGAGTGTCAAAAAATTATCAAGAAACCAGTTTAGCGGTTGTGCATATTATATACCATTATCGATGTAAACAATGAAGGTTTTATATCCGTTCTGTTGCTGCAGCCTTCCACCAGCATGAGTGTTGGTTGTTACATTCTGGCAGTTGTTCTGGCTGTAGGGACAGCAGATGTCCACGGTAGATTTCTCCCCTGGTCTCCCTGGCTCTACAGATATAGCGGGTTTCCTCTACCATTTGGGATATGGACAGGGTACGTCTGACTAACTTAGTCAATAATGTCATCATATGATAATAATATCCATATAATACATCCTTCTCCCACTTCTTTTCCTTTTTATCTCTTCTCTCCCTCACCTTTTCTCCTTTTCTCTTATATAAATATATTTGTCTCTCTTCCCCTCTCTCTCTCTCTCTC